ATTTTGGGATATCAGAATGCCTGGGGTCTGTCACTGCCTGAGGGGTCACACACTTTGGGATATCAGAATGCCTGGGGTCTGTCACTGCCTGAGGGGTCACACACTTTGGGATATCAGAATGCCTGGGGTCTGTCCCTGCCTGAGGGGTTGCAGATTTTGGGATATCAGAATGCCTGGGGTCTGTCCTTACCCGAGGGGTTGGCAGACTTTGGGATATCAGAAAGCCTGGTGCCTGGGGTGGGAGCAGATGGGAAGCTCTAAACCAGGCCAGAGGATCAAAGGAATAGTCCTTGAGGTCTCTAACCCAGCTCCCACTCAAAGCAGGATTCAGAGCAGGGGCTCTGCCCAGATAAGCTTGGGAACTCCTCCATCCAACTAAGCCTGGAGCTCCTCCATCCTCCTGCTGACCTGAGCAGGGCCTGCACAGTTCTCCTGGGGGTTGTGTGTTTTTTCCCCACTATCCAGCTTGAACCTCCAAAGCCACGGGGCTCCTGCTCCTTCCTTTTGCCCCCCAGGAGCACAGAGAGCAGGCACATCAGTCCCTGCAGGCTGTGACACACCAGCCTTGCTCCCCAGGGCTGGGGACTGTGACAGGCTGAGCAGTTTGAAGGGGAGGGAGGCTGCCCACACAGGTAGCAAAGCCTTCTTTCTCCTACATGAGGAGTCTTTTCCCAAGGGAGGAATGACAGAAGGACAGGATTTCCTCCACATTGGCATCCCCATCTCTTCTCAGTCCCTTTTGTAATGGGCACAAGGCTCTTGGCAACAGCTGAGGTTGCCCTGTGGGGTGGGCACAGGGATGCTGAGACATGGAGAGTGGACAACATGGACAAGACAGACAGCTTTTTATTCCCAAGGGACACTGCACCCAAAGGGCTGGACGAGGCTCTGCACAAAGCCTGAGGTACTGCCAGGGTACCTCAGCCTGTCCCCTGCTGCCACCCCTGGAGTGCTGTGTCCAGTTCTGGGCCCTCAGCTCAGGAAGGACATGGAGGGGCTGGAGCAGGTCCAGAGAAGAGCAACGAGGCTGGGGAAGGGACTGGAGCACAAGTGCTGGGAGGAGAGGCTGAGGGAGCTGGGGGGGCTCAGCCTGGAGAAGAGGAGGCTCAGGGGAGACCTCCTCACTCTCTGCAACTCCCTGACAGGAGGGGGGAGCCAGGGGGGGCTGGTCTCTTCTCCCAGGCAACCATCAGCAAGACAAGAGGGCTGGGTCTTCAGCTGTGCCAGGGGAGGTTTAGGTTGGATATTAGGAAGAATTTCTTTGCAGAGAGGGTGCTCAGCCATTGGAATGGGCTGCCCAGGGAAGTGGTGGATTCTCCATCCCTGGAGGTTTTTAAGCTGAGACTGAATGTGGCATCAGTGCCATGGGCTGGGAACCACAGCGGGGTTGGATCAAGGGTTGGATTGATGATCTCGGAGGTCCCTTCCAACCCAGCTAATTCTATGATTCTATGATTCTATGATCCTGGGCTGGAGGGTCAGGGCTCCCTCCCTGTTTGCTCCCCCTCTGCAGAGCTGTATCCCTCACAAAGAAAAAGCCAAGGATCTGGGCACACAGGACACACACACAGGGAGACACAGACATGCTGAGGCAGCGACAGCAGAGCACGAGACACGAGAGCACAAAGCCTGGCTCACTCACCTGGGCTCCACGGGATAGTCCAGCGCCTCGGGACTCAGGTGGGGGAAGAAAGGGGAGCGTGCCATAAGCAGGGGGCAGCAGAGGAGACCCTTCCCTTCCCTCCCACCCCCCCTGGCACACAGAGAACAGCCCCTACTCAGCACCAGCAGCTCTTCATCCTACACAGAACCTGCCCAGTGTGAGTGGGGAGCACCAGGAACCATCCTGGGGATGGATGAGTCGCCTCCAACACGTTTGGAAGTGGTGGCTTAGCCAGGGGGGAGCAGGATAATGCCAAGGAGGGAATCCAGCCCTGTGCTGGTGGGGTGGGGATGCTCCAATGTGCTCCTAGGGTCTGGAGCACAGCTCGCTGAGGGGTGATGGAGGGAGCTGGAGGGGCTCAGCCTGGAGAAAAGGAGGCTCAGGAAGGACCTTCTCACTCTCTACAACTCCCTGACAGGAGAGGGGAGCCAGGTGGGGGTCAGGATCAGTCCCTTCTCCCCAGGGAACAAGCGACAGGACGAGAGGAAACGGCTCAAGTTGCACCAGCAGAGGTTTAGTTTGGATTTTAGGGAAAATTTCTTCACTGAAAACGTGGTCAAGCATTGTAACAGGCTGCCCAGGGCGGTGGTGGAATCATCACCCCCTGGAAGTGCTCAAAAAACATGTGGATGTGGCATCTGGGGACGTGGTTTAGTGCTGCTGGGTTAACAGCTGGATGTCATGATTTTAGAAGGCTTTTCCAACCTCAGTGATCCCATGATTCCATGATCCAGTGTTCCTGGTGCTCACCCACGCTGCTGGGGTATGGATCCCAGGGCTACACTGCTGGGGGAAGGGAGCTTTGGGTCCTTGGCCCTGCACAAGAACCCTTCCCTGCAGGAATTCTCTTGGAATCACAGAATCACTCGGGTTGGGAAGGCCCTCCAAGATCATCCAGCACAGAGCTCACCACTAAACAACATCCCCCAGTGCCACATCCACACATTTTTGGAACACTTCCAGGGGTGGTGCCTCCACCACTGCCCTGGCCAGCCTGTGCCAATGCCTGACCCCCCTTCCAGTGGAGAAATATTCCCTGATATCCAAACTAAACCTCTCCTGGTGCGACTTGAGGCCGTGTCCTCTCGTCCTGTCTTTGGGGTGTTGCAGAAGGGGCTCCCATGGAGTGGAACTGTCACACAGAGCCTCTGAGTCAGCCTTGGGGCACTTGGAGAACAGGGTGTGCGTGGAGAAGGGGAAATCCAGGAGTCCAGCTGTCCCTCTGGCACTGCAGGTCCCGTGTTACATTCAGCTCCAACTACATGTATGGATAAAAATGGATGTGCCAGTAAAAAAGGTACGGGCATGTCACGGCCAGCAGAGCCCAGAGAAGCACTGGCAGTGTCAGTCCTGCCCAGGGCACACCCCAGTGTCTGCCTGGAGGCACAAAAAACCCCGACTTTTATGGGTCCCTCAGACTGGCAGGGCTGGCGAGGGCGGCGGCCACATCCCAGCAGAGGAATATGGGGAGAAACACTAAAGCTCCCTCACAGGATGGGGCATGCACAGCCAAAATAGGCTGGGCCAGGCAGGGAGAAGGCTGGGAATGGTGGCCTTCCCTTTGCAGAGCACTGGGAGAGGCAGGACACCTGCTCATGGCTCTGGGGGTGCAGAGGGACAGCGGGGCACTGGTGCGGGTCACTAAAGGCTCTCGCTGCTGGAGGGCACTGCCCAGCTCAGGAGGATACTTAGGATGCTCCTGAAAAGCCCTTTCCAAACCCAGGGCACCTCCCCAAGTGCTGTGAACATGCAGGTGATGGCTCTGTGGCTCCCCAGGCGCTGACACACATGCACACACCAGCTCAGCCCCCCACGCCCCTGCCTGAGCCCGGCTGGGAGAAAATGAGGTGAGATGGGGATGGGACAGGCAGGAGTCTCTCCAGCTCTCCCCCAGACACTGGGGAACACATCTGCATGGAGCAGGGCTTCCATTCCACCCCTGGTGCTCAGCAGGACAGACAGACAGACAGCAAATCACAGCTGTCAGGGCTGCTCTAGGGAAGAAGTTTCTGCCCATTCACCTGCCCAGACCCTTCTTCTGACCCTCTGTCCCCACAGCATCTTCTGAGGGCCTTCCAGGCCACACACTCTGGCTGGGGAACATCCTCCCAGTGCCCTGCCTGGCCTCCCCTCTAGAGCAGCAATGCCCCATCCATGGTGGAAAAAAACAGGGCAGGATCAGCACCCTGGATTTCCATCGGCTGCTGATGGAACAGTGAGTCACAGGAACCTTCCTCCTCTGTGCCCAGCCTTAAACTGTGCTTAAAGAACTCTGCTGAACTTAAAAAAATCATGCTTAAAAATGAAACTATGGAGAGCTGGGACAACATCTGGCTGTGGCAGAGCCAGGACAACATCTGGTTGTGGCAGAGCTGGGTCGTGCAGCTCCATGTCTGGGCACCAAGAGCTGTGGTCAGTCCCTGAGTCCTCCTCCCCCCAAAACAGGAACACCTGCCCGTGGCAGACCCCAGGAGAGGGCCCAAATTCCTCCCCCCATCCCTGCCCTGTGCTCCCCCACGGGTGGGCTGAGGTTGGGGTGTCGATGGTGAGGGCAGAGGGGAGCAGGGAGGGCTGTACTTACGCAGGGATCTCATTGCCCAGGTGGCTTGAAAACAAAGAAACAGGGACATTGAGAAGGGACAGACAGACAGAGAGACTGACAGACAACAGCTCAGCACGGACACCCTCCCAGGCAGGGTGTTAGGACACAGGGAAGCCGAGGGTGTGACAGGCAGATGGGTGAAGTCTCATCCAACACCCTTTCCCAGTTGCCCTGGAGCTGGGAATTAACCACAGGGACACAGTGGTGAGGAAGGAAGGGCACTGAGCCAGGCCACAGCGGAACCAGAGGGTCCTGAAGGAGAAACATCCAGCCCAGAGGCTGTGCAGGACCTCAGGCAGCAGCTCTGCCCACCCTGAGAGAGCAGCCCCAGGGAGCAGCACGGCCACAGACACCACGGGGTGCACCCCAGCACCCCCAGTATGGGGCTGGGCAGAGCCTGGAGAAGGTCAGACAGGTCCCACAGCAGGGATGGCCCAGCTGTGCTGGCAGAACAACCCTTGTGGCACAAACAGCCAGGGACACAAAGGGTGCAGCTCCATCCCACCCCCAGAGCAGGCTGTGCTGACCCAGGTGCCCCACACGCAGCCAGACCTGAAGCTGGCCAGGCACTGCTGGTTTGGGGCAAACCCTCTGCCAGCAAGGCAGCTTTAGAGGTCAGGGCTGGAATTGGCTGCTCAGAGCCCCAGTTTGGTTTGCTTCCCTTTGGAATTCCTTGATCCCAGCTCTTCCTCCTGCTGTCAGCCCTATCTCCTCGTTTGGAGCTCAGTTCAGCCCAGCAGCCCAGTTACCTCTTGGTGACAGCGTTGTGGTACTCCATGTATGTCCTGCCATCAAAGGCAATGGCCTCTGCATCCCCAGCAGCCTTCTCGATGATCACTGGGGGTGGGAAAGACAAGAGCTGTCAGGACCCACCCCTGGAGACCAGGAAAATCCCCCTTTACACTGAGCATCCCTAAGAGGATGAAGGCAAGCACCAACCTGCCACCCCCTGGGGCGTGTCAGCCCCGTGGCACTCCAAGCAAGCCCCTGGAGAGGTTTGCTGTGGCTTTAGGGTATGGAATTTCGGGACCATCTCCCCGTTTTGCAGCCAACAGTCATCAATTGTCAGTCAAATTTAAACTGGAATTTCAGTTTGATGGCTT